GAAACTGTATGTTAATGCCGCTATCATTATTTACGGTGTTGCAATTATTTTGTTTCGCAAGGAAAAGAAACGAGGATGCACAAATAAGAAATTAGAGTACCCTTCATGTGCACTTACAATGGCCCCCGAGTGTGTGTGTCCGTTAAGTCCACGAGACCGTAGGGTGTCCCAATCTTCATTTTAGCTTTCAAAAGGGTGTTCGCGAGCGTCCCGCTTTGCGGCCGCTATGAGCCCTCTATGCGCACTTCTGCCGAATCCGCACTGAGGCGAGCCCCGCAGTAGACTTCTACCTGACAGCCAAAGCGGCATTACATCATGAAAGTGTGGACTTAATCGACACGCACACACGGCGGCCATTGTAAGTCCGCAAGAGTGCAAGTGCACATGAAGTGTGCCATTTGGGACAAGGCCTCAGAGGAAGACCGCAAGGGTTTAGGGTGCGATTTGAGATAGGGCCTAGTTCTCGCGGTACTTTGATGTCATACACTGATCGGTCTTTGCAGTGCCGCTTCAAGTCGAACACACCTAATGATACTCACTCTGCGTCCCAATGTTCATACTATCCATCCTAAATAGTATGTGAGATTAGAATAATTGTGTCCCAAAGCATAGTATGTTAAAAAGAGTATGCCAATGCTATTGTATAACGTGATAGTATGTCCCAAAGCTTGCCTACTCTTCTACTACACACTCAAAAGTGTGTACTTTTTCTTCACCAAAAAAGGGTGTAGTATAAGTAGGCACATTGGGACGCAGCATCAGTTACACGTAGACCCCGCCCCGCAGCCAATTTCACTGGTCAACTCAGTCACGTCACCTGTCAACAAAAGTTCAGAGGATTCATGGATTTGAGTTTAGAGTTCAAAAAAATCATGTATGGATATGATCAGCGGGGTTTGCGCTTAACTGGTTTTTGTTTAACACTCGACTAAAAAACAGTTGTCCTGAGAAATTACAAACGTCTCTGAAACCCTTGAGTTTTAGCCAATCAAAAAGGTTATTTGCCTGTCAATTATCCTGCACAGTCGGGTTTATCGCCAGCGGGTTGGCATCACGTCTTTCGAAGGCGTTTTTTTTTTTTTAAGCATTGAGGGATGATGTAAGTGTGGTGGTTTAATTCAGAAGTCTAACAGAAGCAAGCAACAAAACACAAAATAAAGTCCAGGCCTGGTCCTCTCTCGTCTTTCACTGTCGTAGCTCCTCCTTTTATCCTTCCGGAGCTCCTCCGTGGGACTCGAGACCGGTGAGTGGTGCAGGTGTCGCTCATTATCAATTACTCCACCGGCCTCGCTCCGTTCCCACGGCTCTCGGCCCCGCCCCCACTCGTCACAAGCATAAAGAATCATACCAACTTGTGGAAAATGGGCATCCGATGTCCCCTTTAATGCATTATTATTTAATTGTTATGCCATTAATAATTAACTTATTTAATTTGTAGTTAACTAGTAGTATTTAAATTAGTAGTATTAGTAGTATTTAAATAATAGTATTTAAATAATTTACCCTTCTAGGCTGTTGGTGTCTTTTTTAAATGACGTGAGACTTTGTGACTTCCTGGAATTGCTATACTTCATATTTCAGTACAGTAAACGTACTCAAATTTGTTATATTAGTAATTTCATAATAAATACAAAAGCAAGATGTGAAAAAAAAACTAGGGAGTTGAAATGGCAACTGCTAATGCATGATCCTCTGCTGTCATCTATTGGTTATAATGGTAATTTCATGTCAGTTTCATCTTAAAAGCCTTTGTTTTCCGCCAATAAACAATTTTGGCATCTTTATGAATGAAAAGTGAATCTTTAAAGTGAATTTTACTGCACAGCTGTAGAGTTGAGAAATAATAAAGGCTTTAAAACATTATAAGCCTAAGTGTTTTAAAAAAAAGTGTTCATGACTATGAAGGTCAGTTATTGAATATCAAGAATAGCATTATGATGTAATTTATGAGATAGCATCATTAGCTGGCTTACGTTAGCCTAAACAGTTACGATAGTGTTTAGTTGTCAGCATTTAAATGTACAATTACATGTCTGGGTACTGGGTATATGATGTTAAATGTTGTTAAATAACATGAAACTGTATGTTAATGCCGCTATCATTATTTACGGTGTTGCAATTATTTTGTTTCGCAAGGAAAAGAAACGAGGATGCACAAATAAGAAATTAGAGTACCCTTCATGTGCACTTACAATGGCCCCCGAGTGTGTGTGTCCGTTAAGTCCACGAGACCGTAGGGTGTCCCAATCTTCATTTTAGCTTTCAAAAGGGTGTTCGCGAGCGTCCCGCTTTGCGGCCGCTATGAGCCCTCTATGCGCACTTCTGCCGAATCCGCACTGAGGCGAGCCCCGCAGTAGACTTCTACCTGACAGCCAAAGCGGCATTACATCATGAAAGTGTGGACTTAATCGACACGCACACACGGCGGCCATTGTAAGTCCGCAAGAGTGCAAGTGCACATGAAGTGTGCCATTTGGGACAAGGCCTCAGAGGAAGACCGCAAGGGTTTAGGGTGCGATTTGAGATAGGGCCTAGTTCTCGCGGTACTTTGATGTCATACACTGATCGGTCTTTGCAGTGCCGCTTCAAGTCGAACACACCTAATGATACTCACTCTGCGTCCCAATGTTCATACTATCCATCCTAAATAGTATGTGAGATTAGAATAATTGTGTCCCAAAGCATAGTATGTTAAAAAGAGTATGCCAATGCTATTGTATAACGTGATAGTATGTCCCAAAGCTTGCCTACTCTTCTACTACACACTCAAAAGTGTGTACTTTTTCTTCATCAAGAATAGCATTATGATGTAATTTATGAGATAGCATCATTAGCTGGCTTACGTTAGCCTAAACAGTTACGATAGTGTTTAGTTGTCAGCATTTAAATGTACAATTACATGTCTGGGTACTGGGTATATGATGTTAAATGTTGTTAAATAACATGAAACTGTATGTTAATGCCGCTATCATTATTTACGGTGTTGCAATTATTTTGTTTCGCAAGGAAAAGAAACGAGGATGCACAAATAAGAAATTAGAGTACCCTTCATGTGCACTTACAATGGCCCCCGAGTGTGTGTGTCCGTTAAGTCCACGAGACCGTAGGGTGTCCCAATCTTCATTTTAGCTTTCAAAAGGGTGTTCGCGAGCGTCCCGCTTTGCGGCCGCTATGAGCCCTCTATGCGCACTTCTGCCGAATCCGCACTGAGGCGAGCCCCGCAGTAGACTTCTACCTGACAGCCAAAGCGGCATTACATCATGAAAGTGTGGACTTAATCGACACGCACACACGGCGGCCATTGTAAGTCCGCAAGAGTGCAAGTGCACATGAAGTGTGCCATTTGGGACAAGGCCTCAGAGGAAGACCGCAAGGGTTTAGGGTGCGATTTGAGATAGGGCCTAGTTCTCGCGGTACTTTGATGTCATACACTGATCGGTCTTTGCAGTGCCGCTTCAAGTCGAACACACCTAATGATACTCACTCTGCGTCCCAATGTTCATACTATCCATCCTAAATAGTATGTGAGATTAGAATAATTGTGTCCCAAAGCATAGTATGTTAAAAAGAGTATGCCAATGCTATTGTATAACGTGATAGTATGTCCCAAAGCTTGCCTACTCTTCTACTACACACTCAAAAGTGTGTACTTTTTCTTCACCAAAAAAGGGTGTAGTATAAGTAGGCACATTGGGACGCAGCATCAGTTACACGTAGACCCCGCCCCGCAGCCAATTTCACTGGTCAACTCAGTCACGTCACCTGTCAACAAAAGTTCAGAGGATTCATGGATTTGAGTTTAGAGTTCAAAAAAATCATGTATGGATATGATCAGCGGGGTTTGCGCTTAACTGGTTTTTGCTTAACACTCGACTAAAAAACAGTTGTCCTGAGAAATTACAAACGTCTCTGAAACCCTTGAGTTTTAGCCAATCAAAAAGGTTATTTGCCTGTCAATTATCCTGCACAGTCGGGTTTATCGCCAGCGGGTTGGCATCACGTCTTTCGAAGGCGTTTTTTTTTTTTTAAGCATTGAGGGATGATGTAAGTGTGGTGGTTTAATTCAGAAGTCTAACAGAAGCAAGCAAACATAATTTAAATTGCAAACAGCATATTTAATGGCACTTGTAAGTATTTTACAGTTTCCCATTAAAAATAGCAACTGTTAAACAGGATATCATAGATCTTAATTTACATATTGCGTTTTGAAAAACTTCTGTCATCAAAAAGCCTTGCCTACTTTTGTTATACTTTTGAACTGATGATACTGACCTACTAGTAGCCTGCATAATGATGAACAACCTACAATGGTCCAGGCTTGTCCAAGAGCACTGCAGGTGTTGATAACCTTAGCAACCTGCTAATGTAAGGCAGTACTCCTAGTTTGAGAAACTTTTTTGCAAACATGCAAACTCATCCATCACGCTATGAAAAGGTAAAGATCAATTAAGCATTCTTTTAGAACATCATTTAGAACTAATTTTATTTTTTGTGATAGACAAGTTAAGCATTTTCATATGCACGTTGAATATCAGTAATATACATACAGGTGCATCTCAATAAATTAGAATGTCGTGGAAAAATTCATTTATTTCATCTTTGAAGATTATGGTCAGGTCTACATGGAATAAGCACCCACAGATTTCCTCCCCACACGTGTTCAATTATTACTAATTTTGGCAAATTTGATCATCCTTGAATTGGAATTAAAAGTGTAGTACTGTCATCATCTCCCTTTTAGACATTTTAAATCCATTCCACAGGATTCCCCCCAAAATATTTCCACTAAATTAAAGCAAAATGACAAAATATCTCTGATTATGGCCAATTAAAAAAATTACACGAGCATCTTGGAGCAATGCTCCAAAAAAAAAAGATGTTCCTACATGTTCAGTTGTACCCGTTATTGTACTGTCAGTGATAAAACAGCAATGGCCAAATAAATTATTCCATCAACAGTGTTTATTAAACATCTTTTAACACTTATTTTTTAAACTGACCTTTTCACCTGGTTTGCCAGGTGGCCCGGGTAAACCTGGGATACCGCTGTCACCCTAAAGACAAACACAAACACACACACACACACACACACAGTGAAAAAATAATAATTTCAGTAAATTCAGTGAAATAAGTTGTTTAAAGTGAAAAGTGAAGTGACATGTGGCCAAGTATGGTGACCCATTCTCGGAATTAGTGCTCTGCATTTATCCCATCCTAAGTGCACACACACAGCAGTGAACACACACACACACCGTGAAAACACACCCGGAGCAGTGTTGTTAAGTTGTTCAAATAAGTTGTTCATCTACCTGAACTTAAATACAGAGGCGGACTTAACCATTAGGCAAAGGTAGGCGAGCGCCTTGGGCCCCCAAAAGCCAAGGGCCCCCTAAAATGCTTTTTATATGCGAGATGCGCGTTCAGCGCGGACGCACAAGTGGTTGCTGTGGTGTTCATTACCACGACAACCGTCTGTGCATCCGCATTGAACGTGCTTCTTAGCAAAAGTAGGGCGATGTAGAAAATGGGGACGGAATCCCGGAATCTATTCATAAAAACGGAATTCACTTTGTAACGCGGAATGTGACGGAATGAACGGCGCAGACGGCATTTCGTTTGCTATTTAAGCACGCGCGGTTGTCGTCTGTAGTAGCTAAATAGTATTCTTAAATATACTAAGCAAAATCTAAACTAATCCAGGTAACTAAGATTACCTGGGCTACCAATAAGACAATACCTTACAACAACTTGGTTTTAAATATCACTTCTTTAGATCAGTAAGCAAAAAAATATATGGAAACTATTTCGATTAATTTGCTTTATTTCATATTAATCTTGAATTTCATTTTATAGCCTACTTGTGTAATTTTGTTAAATAAACTGCATGCAAAAATTTGCAATGAAAGCATTATTTGAATACTGTACATGATGACTGAATATGTTGCCACAATGAAAATGGTACATTTAGGGATAAAAGGGACAGATGAAAAAAAATCATAGTTTCTTACTGTTTCCCCAGGACTTCCTTTCCCCCCCTTATGTCCATCAGCTCCACGTGGCCCCTGCTCAAACAGAGATAGAAAAGTATCATGATCAAGTGTAGTATGAGGTTTTATAGGTCCATTTCTGACTCTTGCATCCATACCTGCATTCCAGGAGAGCCTTGAATGCCAGGACTTCCTCTAAAACCTGGGACACCCTTCAATCAAGAAAGAGTCTTATGTTAGTCTGACCCACAGTCATGCAAATTAATATAAAGGTCAGTTTTGAAGAACTCAACACAAAAAGGTCACAGCTTTCAATCTTTTCCCACATTATAATTATTCCCAGATTGTATAGGAATCATATAATGAAATATCTAATTTGCCTTATTCGTTTGATATGTATGAAAATGTACTGTGTGGCGGGAGGAGAAAACGACAGACACAGTGGGTGTGGCGTCAGGCCTCAGAGGCTTTTATTTAACAGAAAATAAACACAAAATGTCCAAAACGGGCAATAAAGTGTCCAAAATAAACAGGAGATCTAGTGTCTAGCTAGAATGCTAAGAAAAAAAAAACCCTGAGCTCTTGAAATAATTGCACTGTACATATAAAAATCAATCTCATTAATCAATTGCTATATAGGTTTATAATAATGTGTTTTATTTTGTTTCAGAAAACTAACTAATCTTGGATGTGATTGCATACAGGTATCTGCCAGTAATGCATTCAAACTCAAAAATAACAGCAAGTTCATGAGACAACGTTCATATGAAAATTTCAAAGAGGTCTGGAAGATTTGTCCTGAGTATGCGCTTTATTATTAGTGTGTGCAATCTGAACACGCCTACATGAAAGATTGGTGCAGACTCCAGCTGGACGATGACACTCATGTCTTTGTTTTTGAGACATAAAATACCCCCCACTGTTTTTTGAAATTCATTCTTTTTTTTAATCAAAAATATTGTTGACATGTGAGAATGTTGCACAATTCGCTGCTTTTTATGAGATGACTGTATACAGTTGCCAAGACTCAAAGGGCACTATATTCATAAGATTCTCCTCAATAGAATTATTTTATTTATTTAAACAGTTAGCCTTACACATAACCTTAGACATTTGCACAAAAAAAGTTAAAAGGTTTTTCCACAAACATGCTATTCAGTACTTTGGTGTCCCTTGACTTATTTAAGTCCCTTGACTTCTTCGTTAAAGGCCATGTTTTTGATGTGGGGATTTTTAATTGTTCAGAAAATTATTTTCTTACATTAAATTTTATTTCTCATTATTTAAAAAAAAATGTTGTTGACTGAGTATAGGTAAAACACATCCTTTGACTGAACATTTGTTGATAAATGAAAAAAAAAGTTTAAGAGTTACTTCTACCTTATTGGTGGTTAGTACCAAAAGCCGTATTTTCCTGCTTCTTAAAGATATTTAGATTTAGGTAGCTTGAACAGAAATGTTTACTTTAACATTGTGCTAGAAACATTAACTGTTGGTTATTGGTAAATGCTATCAGTATCATAAAATTACATGAGGTGAAATATGCTTTGCATCACTAAAAAACAGCTGTTTATGGTTTAGATGAGCAGGCATATGTGCATAATGTGGACACATTCATAAAGGCATGAAGACTTGCAAGTATGGCATCCAGGTGTTGCGTTATTGCACATTCACTGAACATTCAGAGCTCTTTAGTGGGTTTTTCATCATTCATGCTCAACAAATTTTTCAGTCAAACTAACTCATACTTAGAAAAACTTCATCTGGAGACAAAATTGCAAATGCCCACAAACCCATTTACAACTCCTTCCTGCTTTATCTAGTTTCACTCCCTTGGGCAAGATGTGTAGCACTATTATGGAAACAATGACTGTGTTCTCCTCCAGTGTTTTTAAAAGCTTTTACTGTTCAAACTTGTGTAACTGAGCCCCTGTACTAGAAATGAATTTTCAAAGGAATATGAAAATTAAAATATATATTTATTTTTACCCACATAATTGAAAACCGTGACTATATCAACTTGCAATATCGTTCACAAAAAAAGACTAACTTAAACTGTAGTTTAAATAATAAAAACTATTTGTATCCTAAATCTCTCTATGTTTTCTAATAAATAAATAAATATATAAATAAGACCCCTGTGAGTTTTCATGTTTGGGGTTGCCAGATGTCAGGAGTTACCTCTCAGTCAGTCATGTTCGACATTATGTCGACACTGACATTTGGGGTCTCACTTGGGAGGCCCAATCACCACTGAGTAGTACAAAAAAAGGCCAATGAACATTGGCGAGTGGAATATGAATATTTTGCTTCGGAGCCAAGTGGTTGCCCATGTTTGAGCGATCACACTCCCATTCACCTCGAAAAGAGCAGAAGAAAAGCGGAAACTCTCTTGTTGTTGGTGATTCTGACAGTGCATTTAGCAGTGTTTCACTGGTATTTGCGATTCTCCCCAGGTGCTTCAGCAAATAAAAGAGCAGTTTTCCTTAAAAGAGCAACATGGGCAGCGAGCATCTTTTTAAAGATGTCTCTCCGTCCGTGCGTTTCTGGATGCTGTTGTTTTTTGGCCTCTTCTGGTGGCCACGATTGCTGTCTCACATGTCTGGGCTGTAAGCATGCTGAAACGGCATTTATGGATGGTTTATGCTATCGTTATGAGAGCACAACCATGGCAACGCTGTGATCATCACATGCCTACCTCATGAAGGCTTGAGTCCTCTCTGCCACAACTCAGTCCGATCCCTCTGCAATGATCAGGGCCATGCTGACTAGCACTCTGGGAGATCAGAGGATTATTGTGTGAGCTTTCTGTTGGGACAGTCCCCACTGACCTCCCACTCCTCTCGCACGTCATGTGCCATTGAACTCCCGAGTGATGCCGCTTGTCCGTCTCAAGGCCGATCTAGCATGATATTCAGGGCTCCCGAGGAGGATCGGATTTCAATTGCTGCATCGGAGGGTGAGTCAGTGTCCTCTGAGGATGAAGGCTCAGCTAAGCATCACCTCTCTGGGCTGATTGCTCAGTCGGAGTCTCACTCTGAGTTAATGTTCATGCTTTCCCGGGCCGCCAAGAGCATCGGACTGGAGTGGAGTCCTCCACCCTGTCCCAAGTGCTTGTGGCTGGATGGCTTTCTTCCTGTAAGTGCATGAGGTTGTAATGAAGTCATGAAAGGGAAAAACTGCCCGAAGCTGCTTCCCAGCCTCCTTCACCCTCATTACCCTTGGTGGCGGGACCACCAGGGAGTATACAGACATTCACTAGGCAGAGTGTGCGATTGAGGTGCACTTCTGCCTGCAAAATGCCACTGCCTACATGCCTTGCGTCCAGGGAAGGTGAGCTGATGTCAACTTTAGCTGCTCAGACTTGTCCGCCACTGGACAGGCTGTCTCCGCCCTGCATGCGATAGCCATCCTGCAAGTATATCATAGTAAGTATAAGCAGTGTGACTGACTTTGCCTCTGGGTGACTAAGGTCACAGTGTGGGACATGTGATGTCCACTCTGGTTGTCCAGGAAGGGCATTTCTGGCTGAACCTTGCGGAGATGTGCAATGAGGACAAATTGCGCTTTCTTGATGCTCCCATCTCCCAAGCCGTCCTTTATGGGGAGGGCTTGCCCAGCACTTCTTGGCAGACCAAAAACAGAAGGAGGCCATCAAATACATTGTGCCCTGGCATGTGACCACCACCACCAGGCCACCGAGGGCTGGTCCCTAGTCTGCTCTGGCACGACCAGAACCAATATCGAGCCACCCGCAGGAAGGCAACGCAGCCTGTCCTTCATACAGCCACTAAACCCACCCTCCATGAGGCAAAGAAGAGGCCCTGAAATGGGCAACCTAGAGAGGGAGCTGCTCTTTTCCAGGAGTTGATGAATACACTGCTTCTTTCCCCAGAGGAGAGCCGTGTGGAGATTTTTCTGTTTCATTTTATTCTGTCATTGTCTCAACAGCCAGATTCTCTAAGAAAGAGCAGTTACCTTAGTCTCTGGGTCACACCTGGCCCGCAAAGCCTCATCACTCCCAGCCCGCATCTCTAGCCACTCCTTCGCATGATCCATGGAGCCCGGTAAGTGCTATCATGCACTCACTACCCCTTAATCGGGACACAACGCTTCCTGGGTCAGGGTCCAGCACTCCATCGCACTACACTTCTGTGGGTGCATCAATTGTCCTTTCTTCGGTTTCCCTCGAGGTTTGGGCATACCAGTACAAGGTCCTACCCTGAGGGCTGTCCCTGTCTTTTCGCGTCTTTACCAAAATCGCGGAGGCCGTCCTTGCCCCATTAAGGGAAGTGGGTGTTGCATTCTCAATGCTCTCGAAATTTGTTCTGCACAGGGACCTGGTGATCTGGCACCTCAGTTGGTTGGGGCTTCGGGTCAACTGGGGAAATGCTGTAGAGCATTTGACCATTGCTTCAGGTAGTGACAATTGCATACATCAACTGCCAGGGAGGCCTACATTGCTGCCACAACTCGCAACTCGCCCGCCATTTCCTCCTCTGGAGTCAGACGCGGCTCAAGTCACTGCACGCAATTCATATTCTGAGAATATGTGCAATATCAGGGAGGACGAGGAGCAGGTCTTGATTGTTGTGCCCTACTGACCCACCTGGACCTGTTTTTCCCACCTGATACTCCTCCTGACAGCCCCTCCCTGGCGAATCCCCCTGAGAAAGAACCTTCTTTCTCAGGGGCAGGGCACAATTCAGCACCCATGTCCAGATCTTTGGAACCTCTATGTGTGGCTTCTAGATGGGACGCAGAGGACTTAAGTGGTCTGTCAAAGGCAGTGATAGCCATTATCTGCAGGCATTTTTGGTCAGCGAAATGTGCCTGAGACCCCGGTCTGGATACATGCCTAAAGTTCCCACCAATCCCTTGGAGGAGGCAGACCCAGCCCTTGAGTTTCTGTGTCCCATCCGCCTCCTTGGCATTGGCGCACTGTGCCTCTCTAGCAGACATCTGCAGAGCTTCGGGATGGGCAACACATAATACCTTTGAGGTTCTACAATGTCCAGGTTGAGCCAGTTTCTTACCATGAGATCTGTTCTTCCTGGTCTTGGTACAAAAGAATATCTGTCTCACAACATGCGACAATACTTTTTTAAAAATGTACATTATTTAAAATTTTTAAATGTATGTAGTCTGTAACAGAGCATATGTGTCTAACATAATTCTGTATTTTCAGCTAAGCAGACTCGTGAATATTTATATTCTGGTGTCAGCATTGCCCTGCTTATTTGGTGACCAGGAAAAAGGCCAAGTCTATTTAAGTTCATACCTGATGTAATACCAAATTTAGCATTTTTATAAACAGCACTTTTTGTTACCTGTTTATCATGGTATTTCTTAACATGATGTCTTAGAGGTAACAATTAAAAATAAAAACTTCTCATTTCATTGTGAGATCAGTATTGTGTGCATTGGATCAAATTGTGACATTACACCCCTATTATTTGTTTGTACATTGCAGGTGCAAAAATCTGAGTCTTTTTTTATTTTTTTGTCATTATGACAAAGTGAGAAAGAAATATTTAAGATTTTGATTAGGTCATTAATCACATTTCAGCATTAAATTTTAACTCATTAAACCAAAACATTTCTAACAATATACTATACATTTAAATAAGAATAATAAATATATGAAATTGAAGTAAATTGGAAAGAATGTAAAAAAAAATAAAAAAAATAAAAAACATCTTCGTTAATGATTTCTGACATCTGGGCACCATTCTGTGTTTATTGACTTGTGACCACACAGTGAAGAGCATCAACCTTTGATCAAAATATTGAACATTCTTACTTTGAAATGAAATTAATGAAATTAATGAAAACAGCAGAGTTCTTGTATGGTGAATGCCATGGACAGTTATATCCTAACACACTTGTGGGGAAGATAATGCATGTTGCAGTCCTGGATACTGCATTGAACACGATATGTGCTCAAGTTAATTTGAGGTTGTATTAAACTGTGTAGTACTCACAGGCTTACCATCAGCACCTGCTGAGCCAGGTAGACCAGGATCTCCTGTTCTCCCCTGTTCTCCCTAGAGAATGTACAAATGATGCATTGTAAATATCATTAACATAATTTAATTGCAAAATTATGATTCATTACAAAAAATAGATATCTATCTTTTTGTATCTTTGCCAATGGGTAACAGCTAGTTTGGAAAAACAACAACATTTTCAAGCATTTAAGGGGTCCTGAAATGGAGAATCAGAATGTTCTTGATATTTACACATATAAGATGTATGTAACAGTTTAAAATATTAATAATTATTTTCTACCCCTTTGAAACAGCAGGATTTGAAATTGGGAAAATCGTGACGTCACAGTTTCCCCCTTGACACACACTTAAATATGCACCATCATCTTATGTAATCAATGAGGTGTGTTCTGAACAACTCATGTCTGTCCATCAATCACAAGAGCAATACTGCTGTTGGATAAACATGTGAAGTAAGACTGTCAAACTCAGACACTATTGTGTCAGTGGATGTAAAGAAACCGCAACTCCAAAAACTTTGCATAGCTTTCCTAAAGATCAGGGCTGCATTTCTCAAAAGCATTGTGAGATAAGTTGATTGTAGATTCATTGCCACCAATGGTCTCTACGATCTACCTAGGCTTACAATGCTTTTGGGAAATTCAGCCCAGAGCATTAGAAATACATGGTGAAAATGAAGATGGAGAATTTTTTTTATTTTTTTTATAAATATTTCATCTTTTTTTGGTGAAAAAAAAAAACCTTTGGAAACTTTATAAGCAAAACTTGTGAAAAATAATATAAAATCTTCATTTCATGAACCCTTTTAAGGCACTTACTTATTTTTTTTGTATTCATGAATGCTTTGCATGATGTAAGAACTTATTTTGGCCTCTTATATGAGAAAATTATGTATGTGAAAATGAACGGTATAATAATAATACTGAATAAATGAAAATGTATAAATTACAGTTCAGTAATGTACTCAATCTGTCTGTAACTCTTTTAATCGCCACATGCAGTCAAGGAAATATTTCCGCAAACTATTTAGAATTCTGTTCAGGGACATTTTACTGTGATCACCTGCTGAAAAGCAGCATGTGTTTTCAAGCATTGGCTTGACCTTATAAACTTCAAACTTGACTTTTGGAGACTTTTATGTGCAATGCAATGACTTTTTATGTAATGAAGAGATTACATAAGTTGTTCTGTTGTATAAACTGACCAAAGGGATTGAGGGATAGACTATTGTACCTTAATTCCTGGGGCACCAGGTGGCCCAGGTGGACAGATGCATGGCTCTGGGGAGTGATCAATGTCACCTGGTCCATTAGCACACTGAAGAAAAACCAACAAAACTTTTTTTTACTACGGTGCATTTCATAAAACATAAAGCATCAGACATAATTTCCTCTTTGTGTTCATAGCAGCCTTTTTTGTTAAGTTATTCAATCATTCAGCAGTACGGCCCAGTAGTTCTAAAATAGCCAAATGATAGCGGTTGAAATACAGCATGACACAATTGTTGAACCTGACATTGACATTAGGCGCTTTAAAGTCAGCATGAAATCAAAATAAACCATTTTTATTTTAATGGAATATTGCACTTTATTATAAATGTTTTATTCATGTATTAATTTTTTTTTTATTATTATTATTATTTTATTAATGTGCCCACATAATCTTGAATCAAAATAACTTTTCCTTCCCCTCACAACAACATCTCTTCTCTGACTCTGATGACTTCTGCACTGGCATGAGGGACAATAATCCCTCCCCTCCAGCAATGTCACTGACATGAGATCACAGCATTTGGCAAACAACAGTGATCCAATCAATTCCTGATGGACAAGATCAAGTCATGCCCAATTTTATTTATTTTCTCTCTCTCTCTCGTTCAAGAAGCCAGTCCACTCTGAAATATATTTCACAATAGGGAAGAAAAGACAATCTCAAGTTTCATGCCAACTTGAAGCCACCATATGATACACCAAAAAGTATCATCATATTACCATGATTTTTTGGACATGGTACCTTGATAGTACTATGATATGCTTTAAAGTACAGTAGAGTAGCATGGTGCTGCTATAGTAGTTTTATGTAAGCAGTTTCACTGAATGCTTTTGTCAGTGAGAAGGTTCACACCAGCATCATTCAGCCATACATTCTCAAAGCTGCTGACAGTCCATTGAAAGATTTTTCCAGCTATGACAATACTTAGACACTCCAAAGAAACATGAGGCAAATCTTACCTCTGCGATTCAAAATGAGATTAGCAGTTACTTTTGAAAGCGAGCAAAGCCATCTTCAAAAGTACATACCTCTCCATCCTAAAAATAAAAGGAGCGAAAATACATAAAGGGGCCAGGGCAAAAACCATAACTTAGCTTAGAGGTGCAAGGCTTTACTGCAACGTGCAAGCAGAAAAGGAAAATGATGTGAAATAAAGTGTTTGCCACAGTGTTTATAAATGCCCTACATCTCTAAACACTGAGTCTCAAAGAGATTGGAAAATAGTGCCAGGTCAAGCAAATTGAGTTAGTGAACTGAGAACAATGACAAAGCCAGTGTTGCACAAAGATGTGATTGACTTTCTAATAAACGGTTCTGAGCAAATATCATGCTCCGTATGAAACTGAAAAGATTCTTTTATTTTGTCAGATTAGATAAGATTGGTACATTAAAATCATTCCAAAACATGATGGACTGGAATTATAGGAATTACAAAAGTAAATAAATGAACAAAGTCTTCTGTGTTTACTGTTTTACTTCTCAGTTTTTAAAGACAGAATTGTCCGGTAATAAGATATATCAAGTCACTCTTAATACAATATGACATTAATAGGTGGAACATATTTGAATGGGCCAAAACAGAAACATCCAAAATTCTGGTACTCACAACTCCAGGTATTTCACAGGCAGTTTCTCTGTTATTCTGCTCAGGGTCACAGTAGATTCTGAGTTGTTGTATTTCAAACTGTTCAGGAATAGAGAGAAAGAGAGAGAAATACAGGTAGTTTTAGAAAAGTCAAGGTCTGGGGCTGGGCAAAAGGTGCTCCCTGTTGCATATAAAACACATTTGGTGTCAACATGACATGCTGTCTGCTTTTCCACAGGAACACTGCTGTGTTGCACATGTTGAAAATGTTCCATATTATGTTTATTCTTTGGCAAAAGATCACAAACACACAAATATTCCAATAACTTCCAATATTCCTTTTTAAAATTGTATAATATGCTTTGTAATCATTTTGTTAACTTCATACACCAGAAATATTAAAACCAATATCATATGATTTATTTTTTCCCTTTATTTATATATTTATTTATTATTAGGGATAAGAATTGATGTTTGTAGTCCAAAGAAAGAGTAGTGAATTAATTTAACATTTAAATTACACATGAAACATACACAAAATTATATTACTCTTCAACTCTCTTGGCACACCTTGTCAATATAGAATCACTATTTTTTTTTCTTAGTTTACTCACCAGACTGTGTGAATGATGAATGATATACGTTCATATATGATGAATGATTTGGATTATGCTTATCTTTACAAAATGACAGCTTTTCAAAAAGATACACTCATGTGTGATGATTTGAAAGCATAACTAAATTTTTTACAAACATTAGTCAATCAAACATTTTTTTTATAGGCTAGGAGTGATGATCGACACATGGATAATAAAATACTATGAATTCTACTACTACTAAAATGTCTGTGTCAACTCAAACTAATTAGCTGAATTCAAAATGTTGAGAAGGTTGAGACTTGAGTAAGGAAGCTGGGTTCCCTATCTGTCGGTCACTACGAGTTATGTCATGACGACATTAGGGGTCTTACTTGGGAGCCTCAATCACCTCTGGGTTTAAGAGAAAAGGACAAGGAAAATTGGCGAGTGGATTTTGCATGCTCAGCCATTCCCCTGTTCATTCGGGTATATAAGATGGCAGCGTGCATCCACTCATTCAGATTTTTGCTTCGGAGTCGAGTGGAGTGTATGTTTACGCTACACAAAGTCATTCACCAGACTCAACGGTGTCCCCCTCTCAGCAGCGTGACCATGGCAATGCTGCGATCACAACGAGACCCCTCTGTCACTACCCTTCTCATGGCAGTCCCAGCGTTTCATTCGGAGCTCGCCCAGAGGATCAGATGTCGATAGAAGCATCGGGGTATAGGCTATCATCCTCTGAAGATGAAGATTCGGCAGGGCTGCCCCCCTTTAGGTGCTGTGGCTTCTGCCAAATCGGACCCAGAGTTGACGGGCATGATTGCCTGGGCAGCTGTGAGCATCGGGCTGGAGGCAAATATGCTACTTAGCCCTGAGCGTTCACGGCTGGACGATTGGTTTCTCGGTGTGGAGCGCAGCTCACAACTGTGTTCTGCCCCGCTTCCTTTCTTCCCGGAGGTGCATGAGGAGGTCACAAAGTCGTGGAAGGCCCCATTTACGGCCAGAAGCCACTACTTGACCTTCTCCGTCCTCACTACCCTCAATGGCGGGGCAGCTAGGGGGTTCGTTGACGTTCCCCAGGCAGAAAGAGTGGTTGTGGTGCATCTGTTCCTCCAAAACGCTGCCACCTGGAGGAATTGTCTGCATCTCCTGTCCAAAATCTGTAAACTGACGCCAGCTCTGGCTGCCAAAGCTTACAGTAGAGGTCTGCGCGGGACTGTTTTTTTAAGTCCCACTCCCACGAGGTAATAATCCGCACCCACCCGCTCCCGCGATATATTCACTCTTTGTTCACCCGCTGTCCGCTTAGAATAATTTACTTACCGACCCGACCGTTCCCGCTAAATTTAGATCTCTTTTCCAGAATCTCACATTTAAATTTCTGCTACTGAAAGAGAGAGATAGGCTAGCAAATAAAAGTGTAGTCTGCACAAAATTGTATTTATTTTATTCGTCTTGTCAATACACAAAATTCGTTTAACATCTTGCTGTCAACACAGTAGGAAAAAAGTGTTGCAGAGAAAATAAAAATGTAGGTTGTAGAAAAATTGCATTTCTTAGTTTTATTCGTCTTGTCAAGATACAATTCGTTTAACATTTTGCTGTCAACACAACAGGAAAAAGTGTCACAGAGAAGAAAAAAAAGAATGTAGTTTGTACAACATTTTTTGCCTATTTGATATTTTGATTCATCTTGTCAATATACAAAATTGGTTTAACATTTTGCTGTTAACAGTAGGAAAAGAGTTGCAAGGAAAAATAAATAAATAAATAAATACGACATCTGTCATTTAAAATTATATGCTAAGCAAAATATGAACAAAACCAAGTTGAACGTCCTTCAAGGACAGCGCATCCACACTTTGCTCTGCCATCCTTATTTTGCTCTGTCACTCATCGACAACATGCCTGTTCTGTCTGATGGCCGTATATTTACCACCGGTTAGCCTGCTCTGAGGACCGTTAGCACATGCTGTGCACACAGACCCCGTATATAAAATACATGACGCAGAAAGCACTGGTCCGTGCGTGCAGCGCATGCATAACAGTCCTGAGCGCAGGCTGTACTGGTGGTAGATAAGAGTGAGTAAAGCGCAGATATGCTGTTCTGAAAGGACGTCGGGAACGGGATATTGTTAGACCGCCCGCTCCCGTTCAAATTGCACCAGAGTTATCGACCTCTACTGCGTTTTATTTGGAAATTTAATCCAAATAAGCGTCGCAAGAAATCTGGTCGGGTTTTGGAGGGGCAGACCTCTAGCTTACAGTGCTGCGGGCCAAGCCGACTCATGCCATGCCATGGCCATCTTGCAGGTCCACCAGGCCAAGGCACTCAAACAAATGCACGAGGGTATTACTGACCCGAGGTTGTTGCAGGAGCTGTGCACGGCGACTAACTTCGCCCTCCGGGTGACTAAAGTCACGGCGCGGTCCCTCGAGCGGGTGATGTCCACCTTGGTGGTCCAAGAGCGCATCTCTGGCTCAATCTGGTCGAGATGGAAGATGCTGACAAAGTGCACTTTTTTTTAGACAGGCTTTCTTGACAGGCTGGCCTGTTTGGCGGCACTGTCGAGTAGGGCTGTGCGATTAATCGAAATCGAATCGCAATCGCGATTTGAGACGTTGTGGTTTGCTAATCGCAAAGCCTGCGATGTGGACGCGATATTACTCTGTTCCAGAGCAAATGCATAACAGCCAGCCTTGAGTGGCAGTCTTACTAACCAATAGAGTGAGCGCACCTCCGTTCTCCCCGGAAATGACAGACACCAAACATCAAAAGGTAACGTTAATTTGCAAGAGCTGTGTCACAACACATATCAAGAGCTCCCTTATCGGTTCTGCTTTCAGTATTGGAGAATTAAAGATATAATCTTAGACGTTTTTATTAGTACATGAACGTTATCTTGCACATTTTATCTCCCCAACAGATTCTAATTTGAAAGAAGTTTATAATGCATGTTCGCTATTCCCAATTCAGAAGACCGCACACACAGCCTGTGTCTCTGAATGCTTCTCATACTCGCTCCTCTCTGCCGCGTCTCACGGAGGAGCCGTTTACACTTGCCGCACACACGCAGCCTGTCTCGTAATGCTCGTTTATACTCGCGTGCGGCTCCGCACCGCAAGTCTCCACGAGCACATCCGGCAATATGGACGAGACTTAACGCACGCGCGCAACCTGTGTCAACTCGCGCCTGGCTCCGCGTTCAAAACAAGTGTAAATTCAGACTAACTGCTTTGCTAATTTCACTTGGATGAAATTAAACATTCAGCACATTTTCCACTTGTTCTTAAAATCCCAAATACTTAAAAATGAATAAATCAGCCTATGTAAAATAGTAATTCCATTATAATATTCCCCGCTGAAAAAAAACAATAGAACCCCTCCCAAAACACAATAGAAAATGTAATGGCTTTAAGGGTTATAATTTGAATCATATTGGCTTTAATGTAAACTATAATGGTGTCTACTGGTATTTGATGGATTCTATTGGTGGGATGTACTGGGTCACAGAAAAACACACACAAAACACGGGACAGAGTCTGACATAACGCGCCCCCCCCTCCGGAAGGCGTGTCCTCACGCCATATAACATCCAACGGGGAGGGAGCTGGGCGCTCTGGAGGTCCCTCAGGACAGACACGGGACAGTGGGCCAGCACCCCTTCGGGGTGCCATGGCGGAGCAGGGGACTCGGGAGGCCATGGCGGAGCAGGGGACTCGGGAGGCCATGGCGGAGCAGGGGACTCGGGAGGCCATGGCGGAGCAGGGGACTCGGGAGGCCATGGCGGAGCAGGGGACTCGGGAGGCCATGGCGGAGCAGCCTCCGAGGCCGTGGCCCCAGCCTCGGCCACTATGGTTGGAGCCCTACTACCCCCCAAAAAAAATACTTGGGGAAATTTACGGGGCTGTACTTGGGGCCAGGAGCCCTCCCTGGGCGTAACGGGGGATCAGGAGCCCTCCTTGGGCTTAACGGGGGATCAGGAGCCCTCTCTCGGCTTAACGGGGAAACAGGAGCCCTCCCTGGGCTTAACGGGGAAACAGGAGCCCTTCCTGGACTTAACGGGGAAACAGGAACCCTCCCTGGGCTTAATTCGGAAACAGGAGCCCTCCCTGGGATTAACGGGGAAACAGGAGCCCTCCCTGGGATTGACGGGGAAACAGGAGCCCTCCGTGGGCTATACTCGGGATCAGGAGCCCTCCGTGGGCTATACTCGCAATCAGGAGCCCTCCGTGGGCTTAACTCGGGAACAGGAGCCCTCCGTGGGCTTTACGAGGAGCAGGCACTGGGGCTGAAACAGACACTGGGCCCACATGAACACTTGGTGGGCTAGCCACATTAACGTCCTTTGGGCTTGCCACATTAACGTCCTTTGGGCTTGCCACATTAACGTCCATTGGGCTTGCCACATTAACGTCCCTGGGGCTTGCCACATTAACTGCCGGCTGACTTGACTCGGGAACTGCTGGCTGGCTCGGGACCGGACACTCCCCAGACACCGGAAGACACCTTCCCTC